CTGATTGAATGTAAATTTCTAAAATCAACACATAAGCATTTTGAGCGATCTTTTTTCTCTCTAAACAACACTGGGGCTGCAACTTTTGATCGGGCTTGTTCAATGAAACCCCTTGCTAGTTTTTTTTTCAATGAAATTTATTATGAAATTAAACAGTAACATGTTTCCTGACTAAGACCACTCTAACAAGGAACAAACCTTTGATATTTTATTGGATTTTAATTTAGTTGAATGAATTAAAATATGTATAGGCATCCAGACATCTGCTTGCCAAAGTCAGTTGTCTGGTGAGCCAACACCCAGAACCACGTAGTACCCTATCATAACCTTACTTTCACTGCATTTTTGAGCAGACTAAGCAATAGCTCTACTTCTTTCCCAAAAACACACAAGAGAACTAGCTGTTTTTTTTAGTCTTCTTTCATTCAACAAATGGTAGAAGCTCTATTCGTTTCTTATTCTTCTTAAGGAGTTTTAATACAAAGGGGATTGGTGTTCCTCAGTTTCCAAATACCCTGAACTATTTGCTTTAGACAAGTTTTAGATTTTTTCCTAGTGGATGAGATTTTTTTTTTAAATGACAGTTTCATTTTAATATCACCAATTAGTATATTGTTCCTGTTACCATCATAATGCTTGTAAACTATAAACATAACTGCTTGTAAAAATAATGTAAATATTTTAGTTTTTTGGAAAACATTTGTAAACATTTTGTTTGCTTTTTTAATAAGGTTAAATAAGTAAGAATTCATCTTAACTTGATAAACAAATTCATTTTAGGCATTGTATGCATGAAAAGCATTTACAAGTAGTTTAGATACCTTATTTTATATTTCTGACTTTTCCTGTTCTTTTAGTATGGATGTTTGAGGAACATTTTTATATGTGAGCTTTGCATACATGTTGAAGAGTGCTTTCTGTAAGGCATCTCTCCAGTTGCCTTCGGAATATATGCAATGCCCTGCTGAATTGAATCCCTGGCCTGTTCAGTCCAAGCTTTTATTCTCTGACAGCCTAGCCAGCTACAGGAGTTTATCTATTTCCTATGTAATAGCCTTCAGAGGCAGTAACCTTGCTAATAGCCGCTGAGCCATTCACTGTAGGTGCTTGCAAGTGGTGGATCAGAGATTGATAGTTAATTCATTTGCACTTTCTTAGAGTGAGAGGCTTTTAGTTTCGTTTTATTATGTGTTATTTTTTTCCAGAGATGTGTGCATAAGACCATGGAATAATTTGCCTATTGTTTGGTTTTCTGAATGACTTGGCTAAAGATTTATATAAAACTATATGAATTTCAGTGTTCTGCTGTATTTTCATTAATTTGACTTTAACAAGGTAAATGTGTTATGCAGAAGTAATAGCACTTATATAATGCTTCACAGTGCTTTACAGCCCTCTATAAGCAGTTTACAGAGTTAG